GTTTATGGAGAAGGCATGGAGAATGCAAACTCCGGTATTAAATGTCAGCTGATAAATAAGAATCTAAAAGATGTTATTTAAAATCTCATTATTTCCACGCAGCAAAGTGTTTTTCTGTCATTGGAGCTGTGCTCCTCTTTGCAATTTTGCCTGAGTGTGTTTGCCCACCATCCAAAACCACCCTGAGTTCCACAGCACATCCAGCTGGAACCACCAGCTCCTCTGGCTTGTGATACAGAATGTGAGCACTGGCTGGAGGAACAAAGGAGGCAGGAGATGGAAGCTTTTAAATCCAGTTTTTCCAACCCCAGAGACCACCCTTAGTCTTTTCATTTAGCATTTTATTTCTTTATTTAGTATTTTACTTCTTTATTTAGTCTCTTTTTACTTCTTTATTTAGTATTTTCCTATGTGAACTACTCTGTTCACAATTTGTATACCTGTGACTTTGTCTGTAAGAGTGATAATTGACTAATAAATAATTTATTAACAACTCCCTGACAAGACAGGGATAGGATTCTCCTGGGGAAGTATACTTTCCTCATGTTTCTTTTCAAGATGTCAGATGTCTACCTTAATTGCACAGAATCAAAGCCAAACTCCATTGACGTCAATGCAGTTACTTGGTTTTATTAATATCAGATAAATATAAAAAACAGTATCAAGCACAAATTCACAGAGAATAATAAAACACCCACACAAACCTCCAGTTGAGTCGTTCCTGGTGCTGATACTTCCCTCATTTGGAATGTGGGGCTGTAGTGCCTGTGACTCTGTGCTCAGAGCACTCCTTTGAATCGTCTCTTTTCCCCTTGAGAAAATAACGTGCAGAAAATGCCTCTAACACCGCAATGGGGAGAGAGCAGCACCAGAAAATCTGCTCCAGACTCAGAAAATATCAAGGACCTGGGAGCAGGAGTAGGTTCTGCAACCCCTTTCCCCTCCTTGCAGGTGCAGGACTGCCAGTGTTCAAGCTCAAATGTGGAGCAGCTGAGTAACCTTGGAGCTGAGTGATGTGGAAGGAGCGGTGGGAGAAAGTCCCGAGAGGAAACACCTGGGGCCAAGGCACCTTGGCACTTGGGCAGGGCCCGGGTAAAGCCTGGTCACCCCTGTGGGCAGGGCTGTGCCAGCCCTGAGCCTTGCTGGTCCCAGCCCTGCCTCACTGACCCTGCTTCACTCCAAACCTGTCCTGTCACAGCTGATCTCTGAGGCCAGCACTGGAAGCCGATGCCATCTCACTCCCAGGACACCCAGGACTGGTAATTTAGCCACAACAAATTAGCCTAAAGAGCCCCAGTTATTGGGTAAGCAATGACTTGGAAGCACATGCAAGTAGAAAAACTGATGCGCATAAAAGATGATTTAGCACTCATCTGGTTTCCCTGACAAGAATAACAACAGGAAGAAGAGTTCCCTCTGTTTGAGGGAATCTGTTTCTTAGGTTCCTAACCCAAAGTATCAAGATGCTTTTTGATTTTGCTCTGAGAAAAATGGAAGAGTTTTAGAATTTTACTGAATAAAAGCAGCACCACCTGGGCAGTGGGGCCATGCCCTTGATGGATGTCAGCTGCAGTAGCTCTAAGGGAGCTGTGGAGATTACCCTGGTGCTGGTCTGCACTAGGGATGGAAGGGACATCCTGGGAAAGCTGCTTGCCAGTGGCTCCAGAACATCTCCTCAGCAATTACAGGGCAAGAGACAGATTCTGACACCTCTGTGGCAGCAAGATGATAATTTACAAAATGAAAACGCCCGCAGCCTGTCAAGCATGTAAGTAATAAGTAACCCCAACAGCTCCAACGACTTTATAAACCTTAAGCTGGAATTTTGCCATGCAGTGTTTCACAGATAAGGCTTAAAGGAGCATTGTTTAATTGTTTTCAAGGTGATTTTTTTTTTTTTTGCCTTTTTTTTTCCTTTACTTCTGGGTTTTCTGTTCCAGAACTTCATGGTTCCTTGGTGTTACTGAATGCCAAGGAGTCAATCCTCAGTAACAGACCTCTGAGGCTCTTTGGGACTAATTAGTTTGAGGAGAAAATAGCTGCCAGTTTGGAAAGACTAATTGGGGGTCAGCTACTTTTGTTCCATCTCTCCCTGCCATGTCCAGTCCCTGCCTTCACTGGAGCCCAGAGATCCTGTGATCTTTATTACAACTTCGTTGCAGCTCTCAGATGAAAGGACAGTTCATTACAGATCACTACATTAAATACTTTTCAAACAGCAAGGTTCAGAGCTTTCACAACTGGAAGACACCCACGTGCTAAGCATTATTTATTATCAACTTTCTAAACTCTATGGTACACCTGGACAGCAACAAATCAACCGAGCTGTTGGCCTTGGGTGGAGATCAGGATCTTTCCACAACCTCCTACCCCAAGGAACAGGGCAGATCTTGGGGAGGAGGAACGACAGCCTTGTGGTGACACCTCAGACCAGTGGCCCAGCAGAGGTGACCTCTGGGGGAGCACCACATCACAGGAACACTGGCAAGGGAAGCCACTACCACAGCAAGGTAAAACAAAAGCACTGAGCGCATTTCTCTGCCTACTGCGATCCCTTCAAATCACTTTTCCCATCTTTACTCCTCACCTCACTACAAGCCCAAGCTGTGCACGCTCAGGAGCAAAGTCCACATTTTCATCTAACAGATGTCCAACCAGATCCAACTGAGGAGGCACTGGGCTCTAATGACAGCTCATAGGTTTTAACAGATAAAAGTAAAACCAGGCAATTTTACATGCTCAACAACAGTCAGGATTTCAAACCCTGGTTGAAGCTGCTGAACCCCAAGCAGAGCTGGCAGCTGAGCAGCTCTTTGTCATCCTTGCTGGATGAAGAGAAACCGCTGCCAGGGGCTGCCAAGCTGCAGCAAAGCTCCCAATCTCAGGCTCCTGCAAGGAGATGGGGGTTTGAAAAGCTGAGACTGATGGATCTGCCACGAGCCCCTGCAGCTGCCCAAGGGCAGTGCTCACACTGGGGTTTTCAGCAGACACGGTACAGCCCCAAGTGAGGGGAATCACCCCATGCTGTTCCTTCCTGGGTGCCAGAATTTAACTTTGAAGCCTGGAGCAGGCTTTATCTGAACTCCAAGTTGCCTTTTGAAGATGTACTTGTTATTTTCAATCAGATAGCTGAGGCAATCCATTCAAAGACTCATGAAACTTTTAAGTCAGACTTCCTTCCCTAAAGAAATAGGCACACAACCAACACTCAATTTTTATGAGCTGGTGGAATCAGCGGTTAATAATCTGAGACAGAAACAGCACCAAGAATGTGAAAACGGGGTCAGAAGTGTAACTCAGCACCAGGAATTTCACAGTGGCAGCCTCAGCACTTCTAGAAGCCTCCACCATGACTGAATTAGCGTACCACTGTGTGATACACTGTGATCCACCTGTGGGTTACTACAGACAAGAACACCGCTCTTCCCTGCATACCCCCACCACGTTTTACAGCAAATCTACCATCCTAGAGCTTTGGTATGGCATCATCACTTCATTGACCCTATAAAACACTTTTTTGGGTAATTTATTTGCTAGTTTTCCTGCAGGAAGGAACAGGTATGTCTTGCTAATCTTTACATCCTGGGGGAAATAAACCAAACAGCCAGAGATTATCCCTATTGGTGGCAGCCTGCAATTGCCACCAAGTCTGCTCTGAAATGGGACTTCCCTGGTGTCACCAGTCACTGCAGCCAACACCTCAAAGAACCTTCTTCAGGCAGAAACCTTCTGGTCATGAGTGACACTTATCAGGGTGTGCTCACAACAGTTACACAAAGGAGGCATGTGCCTGCACCAGGAGGAACAGATGTCTTCCCTGAGAGGGTAAACAGGGATCAGTAATCAATCTTCCAGGTTCCCAAACATGCATGCCCAATGGGCATTTTGGAAATACAAACCTGGTTTAAACCCAATGGAGAACAGATTTTTTTCAGACAAAAGCCAGGAACAAACCTGTCTCTGAATTAAAAACGGTGGGTTTGTATTACAGCAATAAAAACCTACATAAAAAGGCACTTTGAAATGCTCCATGGCTCTACCCCATTGTTCCAGTGCTGTTTGCCACAGCTGCCAGTGCCCATGATGACTCACATGCAACACAAGACACTGCAGAACAGAACTGCAGCTCAAGGCACCCCTGCTGCAGTTACCCAAACACAATCTTTGCTTTTGTCCAATTCCAAGTTCTGCCAGAACAATCTGAATAGAAAAAGCAGCTCACTGTGCACAGCCTTGATCTCTCTAAACTTCTCATACTGAATCCAACAAAAAAAACCAAAACCCAAACCCACTCAATTTTCCTGGCAGGCAGCTGTGAAGGGCAACAAAACCCCCACCCTTAACTTGTGCCTGGCCAAAACCTGTCACACACCATGTCATACCAGGTTGCTGATTTTGATGGACCAGGTTTTAATTTTCCTGCTTTTAAAGGAATCTGGTTCCTCAACATTGGTATTTAAGACATTCACTTCCAGAGACAAGCAGGTGAACTCTGGGTACCTCTGCTCTGGGTGGCAGAGCTCCTGTGCCCCTCTCTCCCCAAATGAGGCTGGAGCTGGACACTGCTGGGCCTGTGCACAGCTGGACCCCTGGAAACGCCAGCTCCTCAGGGCAGCACACACCAACTGCAGCAGGACCAGCTCCTGCTGCTTTAATCCGGGACTTGGAGCTGTTGAAAACCACAGGAAAGGAAAAAACCCAAGCCAAAACCCAACTCATGTATGATTACAACTGAAGGTTGTTTAAAAAAACCAAACCTCTAAAGATTACAATTCAGACACAGCTGTCCTGCTTTAAGAAGCTGGCAGCTGCACACTTTTGATTATCCAACACCTGCTTCTTGCCCAGGTTTCAAATCTCCACTGCTGGAACAGTGCAGTCTAGGGTTAAGGTGGCTTTTTTGTCTCATTAAAGATTGTCAATGTGTGATCAGCTTCACAAATTTCACTGAGCTGTGTCAATACTTACTTGAAATATCAATAAGAGGGTTGAATCACAAATGAAGATTGACCAAAACCAAATCCTTTATTTCCACAACTGTATAAATGTGCTCCAAGTATGTGTCCAACACAAGTTAGAAAAACAAAATAGAACATGCCAGTTGCAAACTAGATCAGTTCACCGACGTGCTGACTCCTTGTATTAGGCTTAGTTACACAAGACCAGTCACAGTAAAAAGATACATTTTAGAGTACAAAGTAGCAGGATGTTAAGCCATTTCAGCTTGTGCACATACAAGTCACACTTCTGGCAGAAAACGCAGAGAAGTTTGCATTATTATGCTGGAAGCTATGTTGCATCACTTTAAATGGCATCGATATCGATATCATCATCTTTATTGTTTGCAGGCTTCACAGTTTCAACTTTAGGTACACTGGCAGTTGTGGAGTACACCACCTGTGGAGACAAGACACTTCCTGTAATTACAGCACCTACTACTTAACAGCACTGGAGTAATTCCAACACCAAGCACCCAACCACCCTCCTGACCATGGCCATCAACCCCTGCTTTGTAAGGCAGAGCTGTGCATGTACATCTGGAAGAATCAGCATCTTCTATTCAGGAGCAGAATAATACAATGCTGGGAGAAGAACCAAGCAATCCCTGTGTAAAAACACTTCCAGCCACAGCCAGCTGGAGAGTAACCAACAGATTTTACCTAGGCCTAAACTGTGAGGAAGATGGTGGTCAGTTATTCTTACATCAGCTTATCTAACAAACACATCCCCACTACCTCATCTACAACATGAGACACGATGCTTGGTACCTCCTGTCAACCTTGCACTACATGACCTGCTACTGTCACTGCAGAATGGTAAAATCTCGGGCTACACCCAGGTGCAATTGCATTACAGTGATCTCATGCAGACACCTGACAATTAACACTTAAAGCATTGTAAATGGAGTGTTCCTCCTGCTGCTGCACAGTAACACCCCAAGTAATCCATTTCAGAGTGCACAGGACAAGGTTACAAGACTCAAGCATGCAGGAACAGTGCAGCCTTGGAGCTGCTGACAGGAAATGAGCCTTTCCTACCTCTATGTTTTCATCTTCATCCTCTTCTTCATTACCGGAAGATTCTTCTTCAGCTTCCTTTAGCCATTTAATAAACGGTTCTGCTTTGACACGGATTTCTTTGGCAAGCTCCTTTGAGACATATTTCTTTGAGGCCTGAAAGACAGATACCTTGTGTGAACACTGAAGGAGTTTACACCAGATTGTACCCAAACACTGCCTAAACTGGAACTCTAATCTCACCACTGCCTTCCACAGCCCATTTTTGTGAAGGAGGTTTTTTGCTGCACAAGCTACAGCAGAATGGAGAAGCCACATGCAATTGGCTGCCTTCAGGTATTTAATTGCTGCAGTACATTACATACTGCCCCTTACCTTTTCTGCCCAGCCAAGGATGACTTCTTCTTCCAGAAGATCTGCATCATACATTTCCTTCAAAATATGTGGTATTTTTGAAATAAGCTGAGACTGATGCATAGCTACCACACACTCAAAGCCATGGAGAAGGTACCTCTGAGCTTTCTTGTTGTTGTGGCAGAACTAGAATTGTGATAAAAGCAAAAGTGATTGAATGAGCTTTTTTAGACAGAATAGAGGGCAGAAGCAGCTCTATGAGATTGCAAAATTTACAATAATTCATACTATCCCTTCCCATCAGCTCCCCCTAGCTACGGAAAATTTAAAAATAAAACACTTTTTTTTGTAAACTCCTTCCCCATAGTACCAAGCAACTGCTACAAAAATCTCTGACCAGCTGTCACAATGAGTGCACAAGAGATGGCTTACACGAAGGAAGTGACGTCTGTATTTCCTGATTTGTTCACGAATCTTCTCATCAAAAAGGACTTCAGTGAGAACAAGTGGGCCCATGGCCTTCACATCCAGTCTCTCTGCTTCTGCTACAATGTCTTTGTCAGAAGTATCGATGACACCTTCTTCCTTCTTTTTCTAGAGGGAACCAGGTACAGGGAGAAACATTTTAATGCCACTTGAGGTCTGCTCCTTGCAATCATCCCTTCCCACTGCTGACAGAGCCAGTACTTTGCAGAGGCTTGAGCAAGGTGCTTTTGCTTTCCTTACAAACATTTTGTACAATTACAGCTGAGTGATTGCATCAAGCCAACCACCAGAGCATAGTTACCTTTACAAAATCAAACAGCAAGTTGACTCTCTCTTCTATGGTTCTTTCCAGGTCTTCACTCAGTGTGAGGTTCTTTGCATGGTCACTGATTTCATCCATTCTACGCCTCTGGGCTTCTTCTGTTGTGTCCTCACCCCAGTCATCATCATCCTCCTCCTCCTACAAAACCAAAACAAGAGATCCACACAATATTACTGCAGGCTTAGTATTATGTGAGGATAGAAATGATATGGACTCAAAAGCATCATTAAACTGAAGAAATGTTTATAGTACAATCTGCAAGTCAAAGATCATGGAGAAAGTGCAAAAATAGGAATTAAGTAATGCAAGCTAAAGCTAATTCTATAGCCATCTGCAGGGCTACCTGAACTGCAGTTCAACCACTCTACCCAGTACACAGGAGACAATCCAGGTGCCTGAAAAGGAGTGATAAAGGACAGGCAGCTTTCACTTAGCAAGGAGCACAAATGCTGGTACTGACGAGCTGATAAAGCTGCTACAGAGGAAAATCAGGGACCCTTCTATTCCAGCACTAAGTTCTGGACACAGTAAGACTTTCAGGTGCAATGCTGACCAGCAAGGAATGCCAGTGATTTCAGAGGTTTAAATCTGAGCAACACACCACACACCCTTATCTCCCCACTTTCCCTTCTACTTACCACAACCTGTGGAGGAGTAATCTCCTCTGGTGGTGGGGGTGGAAGTGTCTCATTGCTGGACACAGAACCATTCTCTTTGTCCTTGCCTTTTCTGTTCTTCTTCTCCTTTTCTTTCTTTCCTGTACCAGTGTCACCACTTTCTGCAAGTGAATTTTAATGTTTTGTTCTATGAACTAGAGCAAACTAGAAAGTCCCTGCACCTCTGCCAAATCCCCAAGTGGGTTTGGATGCTTTCATTAGCTGCAACTCATGGGTAGAGCCCATCCCCAAACACACTCAGGGAAGATGTACACTTGGTGGGGAAACTCCCAGCTGCAGTCACTGTCTTGCTTGTCACCAAAATTGTCCAAGTCTATATAACAGGTGACCTCACAAAGCAGAGACCCCTGGAATAGGTTAGACTTTTCTATTCTAGCAAGCTTAAATTGCAGCAGGCAACTAGATGCTTACTACAGAGTGTTGCTTGCACAGATTACAGTTTCTGTTTACTATAGTTTTTACTTCCTACTCTCACATTTCTCGCTGACCTAAAGGAACAGCTGCCATGAGCTACTGCTAACTACCTTCCTTCCTTTTAAGTTTTGTCCTGCACAGGCAAATCCAGCTTTTAACAAATAGCTCTACTTGGGAAGGAGACTTTGTAAGGAGGAAAGACATTATCAGCACAGCTCCTTCATCTGGATCCCCAAACACACTCTAGGAGTATGCTGGTGCCTGTTTACATTTCAATTACATGTGAGCTGTTTATTTTCCTACTTCCATAACACCACTAATACAGAAGTTCTTTATCCCCAGAAGTAAGGAAAGGCACTTACCAGGTGGGTTTTTGAGAATGAACGTGCAGAGTTTATGGTTTGTGTCAAGCATGCCTCGATAGCCACAGGCTTTGCAAGAGTTACCTATAGTTTGTTTCTTAGGATTGACATGCTGTAAAGAGAACAACCACAAGTTAATTTACTACTTAAAGAACAACTACATCAAAACCTAATGTCTACGTTTTAAGCTACATGTTTAAATACTTTGTATCACCCTCTAAAGACAAAGTTTAGTAGTAGCAATCTATCTCAGAAGTTATGAACTGTTATTAGAGATGTAAAACCTTCCCAAAGGGTGCAAGAACGTGTACCTGATTTTCTGTTCATACATACTGAAGTCTTTAAACTTTGCACAGCTTTCACAAGAGTCTAACACAGTGTTTCCATAGTGTTACTGTTAATGCAGACAGAGCACTCACCAGATCAGTTTCAGGATTCTCACACTCAGGACAGAGAACAAATTTTTTAATGAATCCATCCAACATGTCTTGCAGCTTATTCGCCTCATGAGATCCATTGACAATGTAACGGTCATTCTTAACATCAAACTGGGTCTGTGCTCCCAGCTCACAACCAAAAAATTTGGTAGGATCTGCAAAGGAAGAATTACAGTCACTACCACATCCATATCTCTGTTGTGATTCCTAAACAGCAAGTAAACAGGCTACTGTTTCTTTCTGTTCATTATTTAATCCTGAGAAGATCACATTTTTTTCTTACAAATCTTTAAAGAAGAGCATTAATGCTTCACTAGCCAATTAACACTACCACTTCAAACAGAAAAGCATTACAAAGTGCTGTGTCATTCCACAACACCACTTACACGTTGGAGGCCGATTAAGCGCCTTTGCAACGTCAACCATGTTGACTATAACCGTCTTTATTCCATTTCCTTTGCCCTCCACCTAAAGAAAACAAACAATATTTCAAGGTTAAATGCTTGCAACAGCCAAACCCAGCGTGCATTTCCCATTTAACCGCACCAAAATTCTGAGTGCATCTCCTCCCAAGACCTAACGTGCACTTAGTTTGACTGAAGGAGCAGAGCCCTCCCTGCCCTGAGTGGCCAAGCACCACCATGACCTCTCCTTCCCCTCCTGGGAGAAGCAGCTATGGGAGAACACTCCCTGCTCCCAGCTGCTGCTTAGGAAGTTACCTTGGCAATCAGACGGGGCATTTTGTAGCGATAGAACTGATCTGAAACACTGCGGTTGACGTTGACAGACATTTTGCCTTATTAGTAGCTTTATCAATAAGATGAAGAGATCTTTGATTGCAGTTTTTTGGTATCTTCTGTCTGGAGAAGACGGGATGACATAAACGACTGCAAGAGTTCTCGGTCTCTGACATGAAAAAATTTTCGCCACTGAGGCTGTAAGGTTCTTGCTTGCACGCTATGTTTCCCCAATACAGGTACCAGTGGCTGCGCAACAGCTCTGCAAGTGTTAACACACAAAAAAATTGAGTTTAGCTCCATGTACATCAATCCACTCTTGCTACAAAGCTATATAAGGGATGAAATCTAAGGTGAGAAAAAGGGAAAAGCACATTTGTTAAGCTATGGCTTTTTTCAACCTATGGAACTGAAATCCATCACTGCACCACAAAGCTTTCCACCCTCTCCTACCACCCTAAAACCACTGGAACAGCTTACAGCTACTTCTTTATACAATTAACTCCAGCAGGAGTTCTGGGATCACGAAGGAAGGGCACACTCCTCAATTTATTATGCAGACCAGTGACTTGCACCATAAGGGTCACATGGTATGGTTTCAGGCTGAAGGGCACAGGAAATCAGGAGAAAGATTTGGAAATCCATTTCAAATTCCACATCATATCATGAACCTATCACAAACCAAAGTCTGCCAAAATGTTGTGAAATATAAGATGAAGCAGCAGCAATCTGTAGCCCAACATAGTTTCTACATGGCTTACCAGTTTTTGGATCGGAGTGGAAAAGAGTTGAAAATTACGTAATTCTCCCTCTCAATTATGGACTCTCATAGCAGCTTCTGTTGAGTTCTGACTTAACAATAAGCCTGATAAAGTCTGACAGAAGTTGCTTCACTGTAGAAAGCCTAGCAATGCAGAGGTACAGAGCAGTGCGGCAGCTTTTCCAGTTGATTTTTTTCTTGGGGGAAAGGGAGGAGGGGGAGGAAGGGGAAGGAGGATGAATCCTATTATTAAAGTTGCCTTGAGCAGTATTTACATATTTAAATTAACACGTGCCTCTATAATCAGATCTAAGAGTACTTAAGCCACAACTGGTTGAGTACACAGGCAACCCTGACTACAGAGCGTGGCTATTCTGACACGTCATCATGTTGTTATCGTTAATGACAGAAGCGTTGACGCATTAAAAAAGCCTTCCTAATATTTATGTGGAAGAGCGTGCCTATGGTGCAACACGATCCGAGTTCACAACTTTTCTACACAATAAAAACATAGATCTCTACGTGCCCTGTGTTCTACATCAGCCCTGATACGATTTTACCCTTCCTCAGCAAAAAGTACAACGCGCACTCCGTTTAAAACACACAATCTCCTTCCCCAGGGTGTCTAAAAAGAACCACCCCGTAACCTGAGCACGTGTTTGCAGAAACGCTGAGGAAGCGGCTCTCTCGGCGGCCGAGTTCCCAGAAGGAGCGAACCGCTTTTCCCTCCTTCCAGAGCGCAGCACTTAGTCTGCTGCAGGCTGAAGCTCCCTCTCCTGGTCCCTACGCCACCTCATCCCAAGCGCCACCCCGCCATATGCCGTACACGGAGGAAAGAGCGGGAAGGCACACACCGACTCCGTGCCGCACAGCGCCGCGTCCCCGCCCCGCTCGCGGTGACTCAGAAATGCAGCAATTAAAGCACTGAGTCAGCGCCGGGAGCCACGGGGGAGTCACCGCCGGCCGCGCATGCGCCGCGCCGCGCTCGGGGGAGCTCCGCCGCCCCCCCCAGGCCGGGCCGCCCCCCAGCGTCCCCCGGGGCCGCCCCTCGGGAGCGCGGCCGAGCGCCCCCCCCCGCGGCCGGTGGGAACTGCGCCACCGCCCCCCCCCCCCCCCGCTACGGCCACAGCGCGGGAGGCGCGGCCCCGCCGCCGCCATCTTGTCTCGTCGCATGGCGGCGGCGAAATGAATCTAAGTAAATAATTAAAAAATAACAGGAAAGCCTAGCCCCCCCCCCAAAACGAAAAATAACTTCACAGCGGAAGGTCTGCTGCTTTAAGAGATGAATTTTGCTGCGCGTTTTTATGTTGTTTGCTCCCCCGCCCCCCCTCCACGCCCCGCATTGCTTCTCTTCCCCCTCCCGTCAGTCCCGGACGCTTCGTTACACAAAACCTCCGCAAACATCCACCGTTCACCGACCGCCCGAGGCCTCAGCCCAGCACAAACCGCCCGCCCGCCCGTCCCCCCCCCCGCCTCCAACGCCCTAGTCCACTATTAGCACTCACCGTTTTCGTCCAATAAAGACATAAACCCAACGCTGCTCGCCCCGGGCTGCGACGAAGCCGATTGTGAGAGGAGAACAGGGCCGAGGGGGCGCTTATATCCAGACGGAGAGGGAGGCGGAGGCGGACGCCGCAGCCTCCGGGTCCCGGCGTCCTGGAGCGGGCGGTATCACCAGGGAGAGCGGTGCCGGGATATCTGCGGGCAAGACACAATCAGGAGCATCGTTAGCGGCGGTACCTGTGAGGGAGAGGGAAGAGGAGGGGGAAGAAGAGGGAAGGGGGGAGGGAGAGGCGGCGAGAGGCGCGCAGCTGAGGCAGGAGGGGCCGGCGGACGGGACCCGGCAATGGCTGCCCCGTACTCACCTCTAGAATGTTCTCGCTCCGACTGAACAACGCCAGAGCTGGGATCAATCAGCCAGTGGTGCGCCCCGCCCCCCACCATCACCATTGGCTCACCGCTCGCCCCGCAGCAAAGCTATTGGCTAAAACCTCGCCGCTCCCCTCGTCTATTGGTCAAAGCGGCTATCAATCAAGGCTTTGCCTCCCTCCCCCGTGCCCTCCCCCCGCGTGTGCCCCAAAGGACATCGCGTCTACAGCGACCGAGTCTCGCGAGAGAGTGCGGGGCCGGGGGGGGGCGAGACCGGGCCGGTGCGGCAGGGCCGGGGCTGAGGGGCCGGCGGGGGCTGACGGGGCTCCCGGGGGCTGAGGGGCCGGCCGAGGGGCCGGCCGAGGCTGAGGGGGCTCCCACCTTCTCTTGGCCCCTCCGTCCTACCCGGTGTGCCCAGACTCTGCCCCGGGGTGGGGGGAGCGAGCTACTCCCTGGAGGGCAGTGACCCAGCGCTTGACATCTCAGCAACTATGTTACAAGTAATAATACAAAGAATTTAAAGCAATTAAGTTGCTGAATAAGTTGTGTTTTTCCTGCACAGCCGGCTTTTGGGGTGTGGGGAAGAGCCTTTTATTTAACTCCGGTGTCATAAAGGCTCAGCGTCGGGTGGCTCTGGGTGCCTTACAAAGGATGACACAAGTGCCATATGCGTGTGCTCTGTTCTTTGTGGAAAATGTTGCCAGCCCTTTGGAGCTGAATTGGAGCCCTGAATGAAATGCACGTCTCGATTTATTTTCACGGAAAAAGCAGAAAATTTGCATCCTTTCTTCCCTGTTTCTTGTTCTTTCCCATCTTCTTCCATCTACACTCCCCCAGTATTACAGGAGTTAAATGCTTTGGATATTTTAGAGTGTCAATAATGTTCAAGTGGCAGAGAATTTTTTCCTCACATGGTGAATTGAGTGGGCAACCAGCTCTGTTACCCCCATAAAGATTCCCCAGCAGAGCAATGCTCCTCAGTCGCTGTCACTGCCTTACTCAGTAATGTTGTAAAGCTTCTTGATGGCTCTGTGGGAGTATAGAGGGAAAGAGAGGGAGCGACAATAAAACTAGTAGTGACATTAAATGATGTTATATACTCTAAATCTCTTCCTGCCTAAAGTTAGTTTTGACATGTAGTTTTCCTGCCTGACTTTGATATCACATTGGTGTGGTCAAAGGAGACGTCCCTCCTGTTGAACCTTGAAGTACATGTTGAACATTTTTGGTCTGATATGCAGAAGAACTGCACTCAAGAAGGTGGCTGATAAATGATATTTTCGTAGAAGTCAGGAAAGCAGGGCTACTGCCACTTCCAGTAGCACACAGTGACAATAAACAAGCTTGTTTCCTCAGCTGGAGCAACCAGAGAAAAATGTGCACATCTTGGTGCTTTCCATCAAAACCCTCATTGTGGCAGCTGCCCTTGCTGCATGTCTCCTTTCAGTATGTGGAATAGCTGGTTGTTCTGGCCAGGACACTGTCCTTTAAAGCATCATGGAATGGTTTGGGTAGGAAGGGACCTTAAAGATCATCTGGTTGTAACCCTTCACCATGGGCAGGGACACCTTCCACCAGATCAGCCACATCCAACCTGGCCTTGGACACTTCCAGGGATGGAGGGTCCATCATGTAAGTTTGACTTCACTGTCAGCATTTGAAAAAAGTAAAAATTCCTCAGTCTACGTTAAATGTCTCCTTGAGAAATGCACAGCAACACTTTCTGAAACGAGAGAGTGTGCTAGGGCAGAATAAGGAAGCATCTCCAAGGAATGTGAGGCTTGGCAGCTACCACGAGGGGAAAAAAGTCATAAAAAAGTGTGAGGCAAGAAAAGCACAGCAGCAAATCCTCTGCTGTAAAACCATGCGGCACATATAACTTGCTAAATGCCTCCTGTCTGTGGCTTTAGCTCCGTGTTACAACACCTGGGGGGTTAATAAATTACAAGTGTTAAAGTTTACTGTTGCCAACACCACTTAGTGAGCTGCTGGGAAAGAGACCCTGCATTTGGTAGTGTTTGACATTATGAATAACTCTGAACCCTTACCATTAATAGCATAAAGAAAGATGGTTTTAAAATACAGCATATAAATTGACAAAGTTAAAGAGGTGCCTTTTAAGATGGTATTTGTTCTGCAAAAAGCAGGTGTCATCCAGGTGAAGTCACATGACTTTCTCCTGAATTATGCAAATCAGACTAAAATTGTGGATTATTGACTTCAGGGTGCCTAGTTGTTGATTTTTTTCCTCAGCAGAAAATACATTAACATTAAATGTTGGATTCCAAATATTTTTTTACTGAGTCTTAATATTTACAGTTTGTTCATTTTAGTATTTCATGGTATGGACAAGACAGAAAATTTTTTTTTTTCTTCTCCCACTTTAAAATGTCACAAATCCTGAAGTTCATAGTTCACATTGCTTGTGTGACCTTCAAAATACAGACTGCTTGTGTACTTTGCATTTTATTGACAGAAACTATGCAGGTTTTATACATAATTTTGTAGATACAACATTTTAAACTACATTAGTAAGTCAGGTTTTGCAAATGGTTTAATGCCTAAGAATAGGAAATTTTCCACAGTTGAATTTAGTGTGCATTTCCTTATCACAGAAATGTATTATTATTGCTGAGTTCAGCCTTGAACAAACCGAGTTTGTTCCATGTTGCCTTAGCTGGTTTTTATTAGAAATAACCAAGACTCAACGACTGTGACAATGCAGCAAAATCAAAACTCTATTGAAATTCTTAACATATTTACCACCTCCAGAATTAGGTTTGTTTTCTGAACAGTTACAATGTGTTCTTTTAATCCCTGATTGGCAGCTTGCTGTCCTTCTGTGGTTTATTCAGCGAGTTTGTCCTCTCTCAGGGGTACAGCTGGCTGCAAACAACCCTGATTCAACCCCCTCCTGATGACCTTGGCCTTGAACGTTTTGTCTCTGCTGTGTTTTCTCCCCGTGGCTGGGTCAGAGCTCTTATTTTGCCCAGTGCAGGCAGGAACATTAGCACCTGAGTAAGGGATTCCTCCTTGTGCCATCTTCATGGCTTTGGCTGTAATTTCAGGAGATGGAAGGAGGGCCAGGCTTATCTGTAACTACGTGGAATAGCAATGGCCTTTCTTCCTCCTATCTTGGCAATGTGTAAAGAAAGTTTAATTATTTACATGGCAGGTTGGAACAGGTAACCTTTAGGGAAGGTGGGTCTGAAATCCATGGGGATTGACACTAGGCATTGATCAGTCACAAGGGCAGAGGTTAGTTCTGGTTTTACTGTTCAGGAGCTTCAGAGTTATTTCTGTCCAGCACCTCACTGGCTGTCTTGGGGAGATTCACTTTGTGAAATGTTTTTCTTTCCATGCTCTGTAGCACCATCATTCCTGTTAGCTATTATTAGTAGCTCAGGAATTAGTAAACAGAGAAAAACATGAGAGCATGAATATGTTAGACACACATATAGCCATTACTTATGGTAGTTACTTTTGTTCCTTCTATTACTATGCAGAAATGCTAAAATCTCCCAGCTAGTGTCTGGGTCTGAGTGCTCTGAAAGGGCTCAGTGCCAGCTGACAGCACGAGCTCTGCCCCAGATCTGGTCCTGTCACCAGTGAGGTTTCCTGTACCCTCCCTCTTCCTCTTCCAGTGTATGTCTGCCTGTACAGGGAGTCACCACAGCAAGGAGAGGCAAACAGCTTCTCTGCAGATTACAAACCAGTGTTTGATAGCAGTGAAGTCCCTGCCTTGGAAACCCATCTTTTCTCTGTGTGCCTCAGCAGTCAGTGGGAATGCTGGTGGTAGGAATCAGGGAAGCCAGGCTTTCTCAGTTTGTGTAGGTAGCAGCTCTGGCTATGGGCCTAACTGGCAACCACAACCATTATCCAGCAGCTGCATGCCTGGGGTTGGCAAATTTGCCTGCTACATTTATATGGTTGTTGAAAGAAGTGGATGTGGAAGATAAGGAGTCCCTGGGAATGCAGCTTCCAGCTGAGAACCTGCTGTCAAAGCTACCTGCCTGTTCATAATGCCCATCAGTAACCACTGCATTTACATTTCCCTGCTTCTTGTCATAGCCAAGCTGCAGACATCAAGATCTGCCTGTGTGTTAAGTGAAATCTCTCTTCCAGTACCATTTTAGCAATCTGCACTTCTGTTTTCTTAAAGGAATTGCTCAGGCCCTCTGCAGCCACTCCACAGAATAATCTCCCTCCATCCTTTTTCTTTGGCTTCTGGTGGTCTGGCAACCAGTACTGTGATTATCACCATAGATTTTCCAGCAGATTTAATTCTAAGTAGTAAAAACAAGTCATGAGTACTTAGAGTTACCTTTTGGCTTTCTGCTTTTCCAAAGGGAAAATGTGGTAGCCCCTGGTATTGAGAGCCTGTCTCCAAACCTCCTCCCAGTCTGGGGACACCTTGAGTGCTCTCACAGCCCTTCTCTTGTGAGCTAAAATGTGGCAGCTGAGCTTGTTTCTAGGGGTCTGCACTGCTGGGTGCAGCAAATTTTGCTCATTTCTTCTGCGCATCTGAGCATGGAGGAGTTTCTTTGCTGTAGAACAACACAAGGGCATTGCTGGGAGAGCTGAGCTTTGGAGGCAATATTGAGGCCCATGTAGGAATTAAGTTTGTGCTTCTGCTGGCAGATCTAGGAAGAGGATAAAGCATCCCAGATGCTTGGGCTGAAAAGAAAGGAAATGCCAGTTTTGAAGGAAAAGGAAAATTTTATGTTCTCCAAAACAAAACCTTTGAAGGTGCTGCTTGGCTGGTGCTGTGCATTTGGAAACAGACAGGCACATCACAGAAAATATTTTTTTCTCCTAAATCTGATTTTAAATTCCTAAGAATTGCCTCTCTTGCAATGTTGAAGGTATTTTTCAGGGAACTACAGGTCCTAGAGGGTAATGTTGAATCTGTACATCATGGCTGAGAATTTGCTGCTTGTTTGGGATGTTTAACCAGCAGCTTGATTACAGCTGGTGCCAGCTTCTTAATAGAAACACAGGGATTACCTTTTGTAATGAAGCAAATAATACATGACTGCCATGCAGTGCCAAAGGCTTTGAATGC